AATACTTATTCCTCCAAATTGCACCACAGACCGCCACAGGAATATCAATCAGTAAATCAATAAAGTATTTCTGATTCTGATTTCTGATTGTGAAAATGCCTCTCCAATCGTTACAAAACTTTCAGGATGTGTTTCATAACAATGTTAAACCACAGGTATGATGTTATTTTGATATCGCTAGTGCAAAAAGGTTTGAACCCGCAAATCGCCGCTTGCGGCTATATTTTTAGGGCCCAAGCGCGACCGTGCGAGGACCCTATTGAATTTGTTAAGATTATTAGGGCCCGAGCACAACCATGCGAAGTCCCTATTGAATTTGTAAAGATTATATTTATTTTTTTAGGGCCCGAGCACGACCGTATGAGGTCCCTATTGAATTTGTAAAGATTATATTTTTAGGGCCCGAGCACGACCTAGAAAATTTGAAAAAATTAGCCCCTCGTTCAAGTTCAACCTACATGCACTAAATTTTCTGGGGACATGTATCATATCAAGACGCACAAAAAAGCCTCAAGAACCCATACCCTAAAGTCAACAGGAAGTCGGCCATTTTGAATTTTATGTCAAATTTTGGATGATTTATACACTTCGTACTTTAACGAACTCCTCCTAGGGATTTTGTCCGACCGACTTCAAATTTCTGCTGTGCCTTCTAAAGGCATTGAAGATGAAAAGTTGTGCTATCTGTGAGTTTTCGTCAATGGGCGTGTCCGTGGCGTGGCGTCAAAGATCAACTCTTCGCCATGACACAGGAAGTTGTTGTAACTTCAGTGTACATGCTCACATCTGAACCAAATTTTATGTGCTTGATAACTCTCCCACCCCGCAGACATCTACACACCAATACCGATTTATATTCATAGCGGCAAGTGCTATGTAGCTCCACATAGGGGACACAGAAAGTGACATACAGTATAACACCTTCATGCGGCGTCGGAACCGCGTAGCAAATTCACAGCCGCACCGGCAGAGCTCCAGAATATGCAACTCGGCCGGCTCACACCCGGACGCGCTACAAGTGTGAGGGCCCGCCCAACGCTGCTTGCAGCTTTAATTTATTGTTGTTATGGACAAGCAAGGTTATCTATTTTATGTTTTCTTGTTTCAAATAAACATAAACAGTATTTGAAAATTGTATCAGATCGCTCCTCATCTGAATTACTGGAGGTCATCCTCACTTTTAGTATTAGCCTATAAGGGGAAAGACTACAGCTTGGGAGTTTTTTATAAATAAAATATAACAAATTTATAAAGGCAATACTTTTGTTTTTGCCCCTATTCATCATGAGCTGAAAGATCTAAGACTTTCTCTATGTACACAAAAGCCCTATTTCTCTCAAATATTGTTCACAAATCTGTCAGAATCTGTCTTAGTAGGCACTTATAATCCATTATAATCCAGATAATCAAATCCACCTCACAGGTGTGGCAAATCAAGATGCTGATCAGACAGCATGGGTACTGCACAGGTGTGCCTTAGGCTACTCAAAATAAAATAAATAAAAAATAAAAGGCCACTCGAAAATGTGCAGTTTCACTGTATTGTGTTGCACTGTACTGCATCTTGATCTGGTGTGACTACCATTTGCCTCACGCAGTGCAACACATATCCTTTTCATAGAGTTGACCAGGTTGTTGATTGTGGCCTGTGGAATGTTGGTCCACTCCGCTGCTGTATACATCACCACTCACCTTCACACAAGCCGAGAAAAATCCAACTGAGATAGGAGCTGGGAGGGGCTGCTGTCTGCCTGTCTGTGTGTTGCGCTGCTGCGGGGAGACGCGGAGGGAGAGAGAGAGGGAGTGACGTAAACCTCATCAAAGTCTCGTCTCCTGACCAGATATTTAGATTTTTTATTCCAGAAATCCTTTTGATGTCTGTGTGTACATGCCTGGTTACACCACCATAAAGTGCGTTAAGCCCGCTGAGTGGACCGGACTGTCAGCTGTGGGCTTTTGAAGTAATGGACGGCTGAAGAAACAACAAAGCAGAAAGGCAAACAAAGTCAACATTAAGTGATCAGGGTAGATTATTGTAGGAACCATTCGTTTCATTTATTCCCTTAGAGTCATAGCCTTTCCACAATAGCCAACTGGATTTACACTGAACCCTATTAATTCCATTCTATCTTTCCGTTGCATTATTGTTGTTTAATCAGTGTTGTTCATTTTCTTTATATCACTATTTTACTCTCTCTTGTGTTCAGTCTAGTTAGTTAATAAATATTCAATTTGATCACAGGAACGTGTGTACTATTTGAATCCAGGTCAATGCACGGAGAACTTACTCTCAGATTTGAGACTAATTGATTAAACTGACTGATGAAAACTGATCAAAAATTAATAACTAATTGATCCCTAGTGAGTAATTGTTGTAATTATTAAGCTATACCCAAGAAGTCCTAAAAGCCTTGGGCGGACAGCAATTTTAACGAGTTCATATGAAATTAATATTTCCAAGTATTATAATTCGCAGTGGGCCACGTTGATAGCCTTAAAAGAGTTCTGCTGCGCGTCTGCTTGCAGCGGGCTACGCCGGCCCCTTTAAGACAGTTCTGCTGCGCAGGCCACACCAGCTGCCCCAAGAGAATTCTGTTGCACGTCTGCTCCCAGCGGGCTATGCCAGCCCCTTTAAGACAGTTCTGCTGTTCCTTTAAGACTGTTCTGCGGCATGTCTGCTCGGAATGGGACACGCTGGCCTCCTGTTGTGAGAATGAGATAAATGTGAAGAAAAGGACACTGTACGCAACTGGTTCTGGTTCTTGGGGGGCCTTCATAGAAACTGTCTGACTGCCTGACCAATATACAAGCCATAGTAACATGTGTTGTCTGTGTTTTAAAACTGATAAATTGTTGCCTGCTCAGCTCAGATTGCAGTAGTACAAAGTTCTAGTTAGGCTTTGCTTGGCCTCCAGAGACGATGATCATATTTCAGATTAGACATTGATGTTCGGTAAAGAGGAAGTGAATGTCCGCTCTTGCTGACAAGTTGACCCTTTAGATAAATAAAAAAGTTCTCCCTGACGACAGATGTGTGTATCTCGCATACATGAGGGAAGGCGTGAAAAGAGGTGTGAAAATAAGAAGAGGGTCAAGAGTTTTCATCTTTTAAATCTAATAAATAAATAAATAAATTTGAGTTTATATGTATATTTATATGTTTTTTAAGATAAAATTCTATATGTATCCCCTGATGATGTGAAGATAATTGTTTTGATCAGCGAAGAAGGCACTGTTTGCTAATGTGACTGCAACAGTTGTGAAGAGACAAGCACCCTTATTTGTGATTAAAGAAGCAGGAGGAGTCCAACGAAGGTTAAAATCAAGGGCAACTGGACCTGGTTGAAGATACTGTTGCCCTTGATTTTAACCTTCGTTGGATAACTATGACCTGGATGACTGAGAATCTTCATAGACATCAAGCAGGAGGAGGCCTTTCTCTCCTTTTGAAGTCAGTAAGAGGTGAGAAGGGTGGAATCATTGTTGACATGAACTGTTTTGCATTTGGAGGAATGCATTTAAAACAGATCTTTTTGATTTGTTCATGCATTTAAGATTGTGTAAGACAAGGGATCATTTATTTTGTTTGAGAAGTGTGGCCTACTATATTTGGCCTTGATGCATTAAACATTTAAAGGATTATACTAACATTAGTTATAGAGACCTGCATGATATGATTTATTACCTTATTTGGAGAATTGTTTGTGTACTGAGGCAAAGGGAAGGACCATCTACCCATAAAAAGGTAGTGTAAAGTTCTGATGATTGTTTGAGAAAAGGTTGGGGTCCTCCCTGTCTATTTCTTTATTGAAATTGCTGACCCTAGAGCTCTGTGCGAACTTTTTGGGGCTTATTGAAAATAAATACGTTTCTCTTTGGGTGGACGCCTTAAAAAAACTAGAAAGAGAATAACTACAAAGACTGTTTTGTCTCTTCTGGACTGGTAAGTTAGTATTCACATACTTTAACATCTACACTGCCCACATTACACACAAGCTGCATGCTTATATTAAGAGAGCAGCTGATTTTTATTTTGTCCCGTCTCCTAAGGAGGTCAGTAGGTGTCAGTAAAAAGCACTCAAAATACTTAAACAAATTTAAATTAATTTCAAAATGTGAAATTTGTATAAGCCTATTCTGGAAATAGCTTTTTAATTTTTATCTTAATTTTATTGTTTATTTTCATTTTTGTCCTATCTCTCTAAATTATGTTTAATTTTTTCACTGTTTTTGAAACTGCTGCAACATGCAAATATTCCCAGTGCAGGATCAGCAAAGTCTTATTTTATTTTAATCATGTCAGGTTCATAAACAATGTTCATCTTTCCCCCCGTTTTAGGTGCACACATTTGCATATTTATATTATATATTTAGAATATATCCTTAATATAATATGAAATATTCTAAACAATTCAAGTTTGCTGTCAGGTTGAAACTGAATATTTAAAATAAATATGTAATTAAATTTTTTTTTTTAAAGATAAAGGTCAAAAGATGTTTGTTACACATTAACACGGTCACAGGCCTGTTTATTTATTAAATACAAGGGTAACACAAAAAATCTAGCTTGTATTGTTGTGTTACTTTTGTCCCAGCTGACGTGGTCAAAAGTAACAATGTGCCACTTATGTTTAAAGTGAAATTATACAGAAGTCGTTCTACATTTGTACAAAATACCACCTGATATTGATAGACCACACCTGTGAGTTAGTGACCACAACAAAAATATATCTCTGTCTGAAACAGTATCTTTTAAAATCAGGTTTTTCTAAAAAATGGTACTTTTGCCCCTGCTCTCCCCTACCAAGTGTTGAGACTAGCTTGTTATCAGAGGTTGCCCTTTTTGGTATCTAAATTCATAATGCACTAAGGGCGCCCGGAGATGGTGACCTGAGAGAGCAGAAATTGCACTGGGTTACATCAGGTGACGTCATGTGTAATAGATCACTGACCAGTCGTAGCTGAAAGCTGCAGCAAACTTCCAAAGAAAAAACACAGACTGGAGCACACTGATTGATTTGCAGCCTTTAGTTATGTAAACAGAACAAATTTTGACACAATTGCGTTTTCATCAGAGTCAAAATGGACAAACCACATATATAGTCAACCTAGAACAGGTGGATGGGTGGTGGAACAGGATTTCAAATTTATTGGATAATAAATCCCAGGGTGGGCCATGTGACACACTCCATCACTAACACCACAATACAATATTTTTCTCTTCCTATTTTTCTAAAGCTAATGTTGTTCTGTGCCTGCTGGATATGTAAACAGGCATATGTTACCTTACCTACTTTAGAAGGCTTTAGAAGGCAAAAAATTATATAATGAAGCTTTAAAAAATCTATTTCAGTCATGTCTCATGATGTTTTGGTCTTGAGCCCTCAAAACCCATATAATTCACGTGAAACAGAAATTACAGTTCCTTTTGGGGCGTGGACTATAGTGTCTGGCAGTAGTCAGTGACTCCCTACAGGCAGGCGTGGCAGGCAGATGTAGGCCTGGGCAAACAGATTGATGTTCAGGGGGTTTCCATCCAGACGGATATCCTCCAGGTTACGGCGGATGAAGTTGCGATCATGGCGGTTGCAGAAGGTGTTGTCATGCAGAGACTGGATGTTGTTATTCTGATTGGAGTACAAGAAAGTTAGTATTGATGGATTAACACTGTTAGTATTTAATATTTGTGGAGAGTTAGTGTTGATTCTTTGTGGTTTAACCAGTATTTCACCATTCAATCCAACTCTGTTGTATCTTGACAACCCTGCCTCCTACAAAATAAATGTAAATAAAGTAAATGTAATTACTACCTCGATTATGTTCAACAAGGGTGGATAACCAATGGGGCAAAGTGGGGAATTGACCCAGGGCTATGTCAGAGGGCCCCACAGATCCAGGTTCATTATTTTTAACTTTGATTAAGAGGAGATTAATTTGTCCCACTTCTTGTTGTACTACTAAAACACTAAGATTCAGGGAACTCTAGACTTAATCATCAATGTGAGCTTTTAATTGTCTGAACGGAACCATAAAATGTTAGTCATACATATACAGCTGAGTATATTCTTTATACCGGAGAGGTAGAAGTTACTTCATGATGCAGAAAGATGAAACTGTGGTCAAATGGAGAAACTTTTTAAATATTACTTGCTTGCTTGTGAGTGTGGTGCATTCCCTAATTAAAGATCACACATTACGGTTTGAGTTAACTGAACAGAGCATAAAGTGATGTTTTGTCTGATTCTGCTTCTTTTATTCCCTCCTTGTTAAAGATTATTTTAAAACATGTTTGTATATTCTGCACACCTAATGTTTTTAAAGAAAATGCAGGATACTGATTATGATTTATAATTAGGGCTGGGCATGTTAACGCGTTATTATTAATTAATTAACGCCAACAATTATTTTGGGGCGTTGGTGACTGGCTTTGAATACACATAGGCCTACAGTCAAACCATGGGTCACAGGAGGGGTGGGATATTGATCAGCCCGCAAATCAGCCACCCAAACATTCAGTAGAGGAAGGCTTCAGTGGATTGCAGGGTGAGGGCAAAGTAAGACAGCGCTCCGCGAGTAAACGGCAGGTGCTCTATTGAGAGTAACCATGACAACGGCTTCTGTGCGCCATACAGCTTTAGTCTATTTAATCTAAATTAAAATTATAGCCTGCATAACTTTACCTGATAGGCCTTAATCTCGTTTTGTGGGGATGCTCTGCCATGTGAATTCCCTCGTGTTGATGTCCTATTTAGTGAACAGTAATAGATTCTGGAAACTCACAAAAAGTGAGGATCAGTCTCTTTTCCAATGATCTGTGCTGCGTGTCGCCTACAAAAAGTTTAAGACAACTCAACTTCGGCAGATTGCGGGAGTGTGCATGAGGCGAGCATGATCGCAACAGTTTAAAGGGAACGCACCCGCTAGTCGCTACACATTGTCCTGGACCACTTCACCTCACTCTAACAGGGAAACTTGCTACTGATTGAACATACACATTCTGCTGCTCCCTGATAAAAGAAAAATGTTTCTGTCCAGAAAAAAACCCAAGAAAACTGGACTTGTTTTAACAAGCTAGATAATGCCCAGCCTGTGGCAAATAGCTTTGGTTTAATTTGTGATATACAAGAAATATTTTATTGCTACTGTGTAAAGGGAATACTGCTTTTAAAAAACACCTTATTTGTTTAAAGGGTTTACATACCACATGTTATTGCACTTTTGTATATATAGCAGTACATTTAAATTAAAAGTGTGCAATACATATAAACTTTAGAATTCATTATTCAATTTTGCGCGTAACAATGAAATAAAATAAAAAATTTTAATCGCGATTAATCGCTTTTTTAATCCCAACACTATTTATAATATTAGAGAAATGATGTCTAGAGAGGCGAAAGTGTGAGTGAACTTTTGAAACATTTTTTGGTTGTGAGGACTTATGTGGCAAATTCAGTTCTATGGATTTTTGTTATTGTTACTAGTTTCTTCTTTCTTTTAGTTGTTTTTGAAAGAACCTTATGTATCAAAGACAATGGCTGTGGCCTTCTGTTTTGTGTCATGGTTTTAGGATTTTGTAGTCCTGTTCCTGTTTTTTTTTGTTTTATATCTACCCTCACATGTTAATTTTTGCTTACTTTCTGTCTCCATGTTTTCTTATTTTCTGTGCCTTTACGAAACTGCTTGCTACTACCTCTTTGTTTGCGCGTTCATGCGGATGGTCCACCTCATTGAGTGCCATCCGACACCAATGAGGGTGGAGTGGTAGTGGGTTGTTAAACACTCCAATGCTGAGTGAGCACCAATGCTGGCTTGTTGAAGGTGTGGGAATCACGTAATAAGGTATTAAAGAAAAATAGTTAAGTTGTCCCACACATTTAAATTCTTCAAATTATAATGCTGTAATATGTTTGATTTATTTTGAAATGTTGTATTTGTGGTTTCTTTTTAGACCATTTGTATTTGTGAATGTAATATTTTTCATATAAGATAAAGAGGTTCATATATATGCTTTTCTTTTACAATGAATATCAATCTCAATCAATTTCATAAAAGAATATAATGTCTCTTTTTCATAAATAGCTGAAGTCATAGTCTTAAAGAAATATTCTAAATCTAACAAAAATAATTTGGTTCATAAACAAACAATGGTTTCAATTTTGTCAATGCAAAAAACACATTTTTCCTCATCATCAATCCTGGGTCTTAATACAACTGTTTTTTATTTGATACACTTATTATAGCAGTGAATGCAGAGATATTGTCAGATCCTATTTACGCCGGGGAGAGGGTAGTTCATATGAAAGTTGGATGCAGTATTTGGGAGCTCGATTTGGCTGTGAGGGTGACTCCGACCAGTGTTAATTCCGTGACGGAGTGGAAGTAGCGAGGGTCTAGTTTCGGAAAGGCTCTCTGTGTTGTATCATGTATTCTTGGTTTTCTGCTGTACTGTGTTATTTTCCTTTCCTCTCTTCTCTTCCTGTCTCTGGATTTCCTGCTAGTTAAATTATTTGCTGATTAGTCTCACCTGTTGTCTGCCTGTGTTTCTGTACTCATGTTGGATTATTGGGACTTTGATTTGTGCCTGCGTCCTTGTTTGGATTTGTTTGCCTTGTGCTGGACTGCTCACCTGTTTTGAACGCTCGCCCGTCTCCTCTCACCGTAAGCTTGCTCACCTTTTCATTTTATGATTAATAAACACAGTAACCTGAACCTGCTCTGCCTGATGTTGTGCATCTGGGTCCAGACCCACTATTTCCTGCGTCTTCGCTTGAGCTGACATTTTGCTTGTTTTTGGATTGAAATTTGGAATGGAGCTTTGAATTATGTTATCGGTTGCTGCTGCAGCTAGTTGGATGACTAAATCATCCCTCTGTAGCCATTGGCCTGTTGGACTCCCAGTGTACATCTTAGCTAGACTTGGGTAAGCAATCAAGCCGGGTCTGGTTGAATCCACTGGGGGATTCAGTTCCTTTTTTCTGAATATTTCTGTCTTTTATATGTTATATGGTGTTGCAGTGACTGATGCTGTTTATACTGTTTTAACTTATGTGTGAATAATCTGGTTACCTGGCTGCAAACTAAATTTCTGTTTTGGAGGGAAGAAAGAAGAAGATACATGACATAGATGTGCTTCTACCTGCAGGTGTAATGCTCTCAGTCTCAGTGGCAGTGGCGTAGGAATGTAATCCAGGTTATTGTTGGACAGATAGAGGAATTCCAGTTGGCTCATATCCTGCGTGGAGGGGAGAACACCAACATAACTTGAAAATATCCACAAAAGGGAGCCACACATCCACTGAATATCAACTATAGATCTGGAACTACTTGTTCAATTTAGTGCGTAAGGTAGACGTTTTCCACCATGTAATCATTAAGGAGCATTGCTTCAGGCTGGTGACGGTCCGAAAGCGGCAGGATCTGATAAGTCATCAGGGGGCTGCTGGAAAACTGCAGCAGAATCCATTTATCACTTACATATAACGTTCTAACTATCCACAAATACATATTGTGCAGTAAGAATAAAATTGGACAGCCTGTCAAACAGTATTTTCTGATGTAGAAACTGCTGAGATTATTTTGATCCTTAGCTTAGATGTAAGAACTTACTTTTAAATAACTGTATGTCCAGAGTTTAGTACTTAAATTGTAAATCAATATCATCTTCTCTGCCAAGCAGTCGTTCTGTTAGAAATAGTCTTTAGCCCAATCAGGAATAACTCAAATTACATCATCATTTTGATCTGGAAGGTTCATTATTGACCTTGGAAAGACTACTACTTTCAACCAAATGTCATGGCCCTCATCAGTGGATGGTGTTCGCTCACCTGTGGTTGAGAGAAACTGATCTTCATCTTTAATATAAGATTTATTTTCATTATATATGCAAGATGTCTGTCTGATTAGTGTGTCAGTGCATTAGCTAAATTTAAGGATGCAATTCCATCAGCTCTAAATTCATTATCATGTCACAAAGTAACAGAGGACTCCTATGCTAATTTCAGTCCCTCCCAAACCAATCGCTGCGAATGACACTCGACTCTGTAGCCCCTCTAAAAAAGAAAATAATAAAACAAAGACGGTTAGCTCCATGGTATAATGATGAAACTCGTAAATTAAAGCAAATATCACGGAAACTTGAGAGGAATTGGCGTTCCACCAAACTGGAAAATTCTCATTTAATTAGGCAAGATAGTCTTAAAACTTATAGGAAGGCCCTCCGTAATGCCAGAGCAGCGTACTACTCGTCATTAATAGAGGAAAATAGGAACAACTCCAGGTTTCTTTTCAGCACTGTAGCCAGGCTGACAGAGAGTCACAGCTCTATTGAGTCAAGTATTCCCATAGCTCTCAGTAGTTGCGACTTCATGAGCTTCTTTAATGATAAAATTCAAACTATTATAAACAAAATTCACCAAGACCTGCCCTCAACTGGCACCGACTTATCTCTAAACTCAGGAACCTTAGAAACAGCTGTAAAACCAGATATATGTTGATGTATATGACTGTTTTGCTTCCCTCAATCTTTACCAACTAACTTCAATAATTTCTACCATCAACCTGCCTCTCAGACCCCATCCCGACTAGGCTGCTTCAAGAAGTTTTACCCTTAGTCAGCACCTCTATACTAGATATGATGATCTATCTTTATCAACAGGCTATGTACCACAGTACTTTAAAGTACCTGTAATTAAACCTCTTCTGAAAAAGCCCAAACTTGATCCATATGTTTTAGCCAACTATAGACCTATATCTAACCTTCCATTTCTCTCTAAGGTTCTGGAGAAAGCAGTTGCTAAACAGCTGTGTGACTTTCTACAGAGCAATAGTTTATTTGAGGATTTTCAGTCAGGATTTAGAGCTCATCATAGCACAGAGACAGCACTGGTGAAAATTACTAACGACCTCCTTATTGCATCAGACAAAGGACTTGTCTCTGTACTGGTTTTATTAGATCTTAGTGCTGAATTTGATACCATTGACCATCAGATCCTATTGCAGAGACTGGAATATTTCATTGGCATTAAAGGAACCGCTCTAAGCTGGTTTAAGTCCTATTTATGGCATCACCCTGGCCTCAAGCACCATTGTGAGGAATCTTGGAGTTATCTTTGATCAGGACATGTTGTTTAAGTCTCACATTAAGCAAATTTCACCTTCGTAATATTGCGAAAATCAGGAACATCCTAGTCTATAAAAACTAGTCCATGCATTTGTTACTTCTAGGCTGGATTTCTGCAATTCCTTATTATCAGGCTGCTCGAAAAAGTCCATTACCAGGAACCAGGAAAAGAGATCACATTTCACCTGTCTTAGCTTCTCTGCATTGGCTTCCTGTAATATCCAGAATAGAATTTAAAATCATTCTTCTTACCTACAAAGCTCTTAATGGTCAGGCACCATCTTATCTTAAAGAGCTCATAGTACCTTACTACCCCACCAGAGCACTGCGCTCCCAGAATGCAGGGTTACTTGTGGTTCCTAGAGTCTCCAAAAGTAGACTAGGAGCCAGAGCGTTCAGCTATCAAGCTCCTCTCCTGTGGAACCAGGTTCCAGTTTGGGTTCAGGAGGCAGACACCATCTCCACATTTAAGAGTAGGCTTAAGACTTTCCTCTTTGATAAAGCTTATAGTTAGGGCTGGCTCAGGTGAGTCCTGAACCATCCCTTAGTTATGCTGCTATAGGCCTAGACTGCCGGGGGATTTCCCATGATGCACTGAGCTCCTCTCTCCTCTTCTTTCTCGTCCTCTGTATGCAACCTCATCCCATTATTGCATGTTACTAACACAACTTCTCCCCTTTCCCGTAGTCTTGTGCTTTCTCGTCCCTCTCCTCTCTCCTCCTATCACTTCCTGCAGGTGTTTCTGGCTCTGGAGTTGTGGAGTCTGGATCTGTGGTTGCAAGTCACCTGCTTCTCCCGTGTTCCTGCTCGACACCCTCTGGTACAATTATTGTTACTAGTCCTATTGTTATTATTGTTATTATAATCATTAACATTACGATTATTATCATTAACACTACTGTAAATATCTGTACCATTTTTCATTTAGTCTATAGCAACATCACCTTTACTGTCTGTACCTCTGTGTGGATATTGTGTAGGTTGCCTCCCTCCCCTCTCTCTCTCCTTCCATCCCCCTCCCTCTTTCTCTCTGTTTCTCTCTTGCCCTCTCTCTCTCTCTCTCCTTCACCCCAACCGGTCGAGCCAGATGGCCGCCCACCCTGAGCCATGGTTCTGCTCGAGGTTTCTGCCTCTTTCCTTGCCTCTGTCGCCTAGTGCTTGCTCTTGGTGGGAACTGTTGGGCTTCTGTAAATAACATCATAGAGTACGGTCTAGACCTGCTCTTTTATGAAAAGCGCTGTGAGATAACTGTTGTTGTGATTTGGCGCTATATAAATAAAATTGAATTGAATTGAATATTTACCTTGAATCCCTCAGAATGTACCCCACTACTGGTCAGCCTGTTGTTGCGCAGATCAATGTGTTTCATGGTGACTGGCAGCTCGGGCATGACCTGCAGGTTGTTATCAGCCAACAGTAACTCCTGCAGCTGCGGCAGCGAGCGAAACACATCCTCATCCACCCATAAGATCTTGTTTCCAGTTAGATCAATGGACTGGAGCTTATCTGTAACAAACACACAAATTATAGTAATTATTTTTTGCCATGTATCTGAGAGTTTGTGGTACCTGTATCCAAAGTCATTCCTCACTGAGGTTGATGAAGTCTGTGTTCTTGACATGTTGGATCTTGTTGTAGCGGCCATAAAAACGTTTGGTGTCTTTGGGCAGGGGTGGGACCTGGTCCAGGCCCATGTCATCGCAGTACACACTCCCACCAATACACACACACAGTAGGCAGGTAGGCATACCTGCACACAGAGGGCAGAGTTTTACAGTTTTTTCTGATGGCTTAAGCACATTTTTTGTAACTATTGGCTATGTATTGCAAAACTCTACACACAAATAAGAAAACACTTCACCAAATCAGCAAAACATTATAATTATCTTGCAAAAGCTAATAAACCTTGCTTAATTCTTCAAACCTTCATAAAAATAGTATTTTTGTCTCAAACAGTTACCACAAGCCATCACATTAATAAGCACACAATGCGCCAACTACACACTGATGGTATGAATAAAAAAAAACATCTGGCTTTTGCTTTCTCTGTGCACAAGGTAGGCTATGTCAGTTTGAGGTCATACTTTTGTCATAGTTCTGTAAACATACAGGGATCCAAACTTCAAGTACTGGTGTTTATTTACAAACATCAAAACAAACACAAAATAGTAATTTCACAGAAAAAAATAAAATAATAATCAGTCTACATCGTGTCGTCTCTCTGGGTCTGGCCACAAAATTTCGTCTACATCACATGCAATGTCCTCTAGTCTAAGGCACTGGGGAAAATATCTTCTGGAATGCCGTATCCAGGCCTGACATGACGCCTGGTCAATATCCCCACATGCCTCCTCTATTGCCTGTAAAAGGGCGATGCGTTGATGGGGATGACGGTCATAGACCTTCCAGCGCCAGGCAGAGAAGAACTCTTCAATTGGATTCAAGAATGGAGAGTATGGGGGGAGGTTGAGTACAGTGAAGAGTGGGTGATCTGTAAACCAGTTGCGGACCAACGCAGCCCTATGGAAACTAACATTGTCCCATATGATGACGTATCTGGTCTGCTCTGGTCTCTGAACATTAGTGAGCATGTCATGTAAGGTGTCCAGGAATGTAATAATTTGTGCAGTGTTATATGGGCCTAGGGTTGCATGATGGTGAACAACATCATTTTGACTTATAGCTGCACACATGGTTATGTTACCACCACGTTGTCCTGGGACATTGATAATGGCACGGTGTCCAATAATGTTCCTGCCACGTCTCCTTGTTTTAGTGAGGTTAAAACCTGCCTCATCCACAAAAAGCTGCTCATGACCCATGGCATCTGCCTCTGGCCCCATCACTCTCTGGGCAAGACAAAACAAATACAGCACATCAGGCCCATGCACAGCACTATGCACTTCCAGATTCAGTACCAATGATACTATAGCTTACCTGCACATAGTCATATCACAGTTGTTTTACACATTCACTGTTTCTTTCAAAAGGGACTCTGAAGATTTGTTTCATTCGAATTCTGTTGCGTGCAAGTACACGACATAATACAGAAATGCTCATTGTGTATGTTTTGGAAGGTGGTGTCATCCTCAATTATGCACTGCTGTATTTCTCGTAGCCTTATGGAATTATTTGCAATCACCATATTGACTATATGGGTCTCTTGTTCTGCAGTGAACATTCTTCCTCTGCCCCCAGCATCTGGACATCTAGCAATTCTGTAAAGTAACAATTTCAGTATTTTTACATGTATGGTATTGTTGTGTTTCTCATTAGAGTATGGCAGTGCAACAAAACTTAGTGCAAAGTGACTGTACTAACCGATTCTCATTTCGAAATGTCCTTATGATGCTTGCTACAGTGCAGCGGCTCAAGTTAGGCTGAACCCGTTGGCCAGCTTCCCTCAGGGTCATTCCATGGTTGATGACATGGTCCACTATTGTAGCTCTGATGTCATCAGTAATTCTATTTCTTACTCTTCTTACCCTTCCTCTTCCCCCTCCTCGTCCTCCTCTTGCACCTCCTTGTCCTCTTCCTCTAACTTCACCTCCCTGTCCTTGTCATCCTCTCCCTCTCGCTTCTTCACCTCTGCATCCTCTTCCTCCTCCTCTTCCTCCTACTTCTTCACCTCCACATCCTCTTCCTCCTCCTCTTCCTCCTACTTCTTCACCTCCATGTCCTCTTCCTCGGCCTCCTCTAATTCTCACTCTTCTCATTCTTCCTGCTCCCTCCATTGTACTCCACACAGACAGCTTACCTGTAGCTTATTTATAGGCTGATTGCAAAGTGAACTAATTATCTAAAACAGTTTTCACATGTGACAGTGTGCCAGACAGTTGGCAAAATAGCGTAAATAATAGCCATACATGTGTATAGTTTTGCTAGGAGTGTGTTGACCATTTGGAAATTGAGTGTAAAGCAGTGAGTTGTGTATACAGTTCCGCAAAGAGTGCTGTGCAGTGAATTGTACCTACAGTTTTGCAAAGTGTGTTACAAAATTGCAAACTGAGTGCAAAGCAGTGTTTGTGCTTTTAGTTTTCCAAACTCAGTGAGTGGTTTTGCTACAAGTATTAATAGTTTTAGAAATTGTGCTATAAGAATCACGGTTAGGGTTTAAGCATTCAGAAAAAACTGTAATACATATAAATGCATACTGACAAATTGATACAATCATCAAAGACTGTTGGACTTCTGTGACAATAGATGCACACGCAGACAATGCTGTGACTCACCTAGGCCAGTCTCCGGGCCAAAGAGACCTGGTCCATCGAAGTCCAAGGTGACAGGAACTGGAGGCAATGTGGGCAGGGTCACCTCCTCCTCATAGTATTCAGCTGTGGGCTGGGTGGCTGGTGGAGGGGTGTCTGGTGCTACTGTGCCCACTTCAATCTGTCCCCACAGCAGCCAGGAAGAGAGTGAATAGTTCAAATCAGTTGGTTTTGATTTGCATGGTACAGATGTGTGTGTGTGTGTGTGTGTGTGTGTGCGTGAACTCTGTAAATGTGTGTTTTCATAACATATGGTTTAAACATCATGCAAATAGCTTTGTCACATTCATATGGGAGGTGTCAAGCCCTCCACTTCTGCCTAGCTGTCAGCCTCTCTCCCCCTCCCTTTCCCTCTCTCTGTGTGTTAGTAAGGAGGCAGGCGTCAGGCTACCAGACCACCACTTTGTAAGCATAAATTGGGAATCATGAAAACAACTTGATGAGGAAACGCTGACCCATGCATATGAACATTTTGGAGATAGGGGAAATCATGGAGGGTGGCACGGTGGTACAGTGGTTAGCACTGTTGCCTCACAGAAAGAGGGGTCGTGGGTTCAAACCCCAGTTTCCCTGGCCTTTCTGTGTGGAGTTTGCATGTTCTCCGCGTGGGTTCTCTCCGGGTGCTCCACCATCCAAAGACATGCAGGCTAGGTGAAATTGGTGTCTCTAAATTGGGTGTCTCCCTCAGGGTCATTTGGTGAACGTGCGAGGTCGGCGGTTCAATCCCTGGCTCCCCCTGGTTGCGTGTCGAAGTGCGTGTCGAAGTGTCCTTGGGCAAGATACTGAACCCTGAATTGCCCCTGGCGGCTATTCCGCCAGTGTATGAGTGAGTGTGAATGTTAGTTTCCGTTCGAGCACTTAAGCTCAGTGTATGAATGTGTGTGACTGGTAAATGCAGATGTAGTGTAAAAGCGCTTTGAGTGGTCGAAAAGACTAGAAAGGCGCTATACAAGTACAGAGCTTTTACATTTAAATTGTCCTTAGGTGTGAGTGGTTTGTCAGTCTATGTGTGGCCCTGCCAGTGGTGCCTGGCGTCCTGTCCAGGATGTACCCAGCCTTTAGAACAATATCAGCTGGGATAGGCTCCAGCCCCCCTGTGACCCTGTACACAGGATAAGCGGTTGACGATGGATGGAAATTGTGGTGAACTGAAGACAGATTGTGTAATGATTTTAATTTGTATAATCACTTTTAATTTCACTTCATGTCAAACAGTAATTATAGATCCACCTAGCACATCTTCACCACCTGCACAGGTGGACAGTGTAATTGAACAAAGTTTGGAAATAAAGCCAGTCAGTTTGGCAAGGTGTGAAGCACCGAAATTGGTGCACGCAGAAGAAAATCTGATTTATAAAATCGTGGGCACGCACGTGCAGGTAACTTTCTCTTTTTTAAATCACAAGCCATGTTTCCATCTAATTGTCAAGTGAATTTCATGCTAACTTTTGAAATGTCACAAAAAAGTAATCAGAAGTTACACATTACTATCATAAACAAGAAGTAGAAGTTGCAAACTGGAAACAAAATCAGTCGAATGGATCTGAGGACAAGGGACCTGAGATAAATGGAGGTCTTTGTGAATGTTTCAACTGGGCAAGTTGTAAGTGTCCTCATGTCAGCTAGTATTGGCCATGTTTCATGCTGTTAGATGACTAAAACGTAGAAATAGCTGATCATTCGGTGAAGGTATACTTCTCCAATCTCCCATTTTGTGCAAAAACCACCTCAAGTGATAGTAAAAATGTTTATGCAAAATTGAAGAAGTCTTCTCGAGTTTTGCCATTTCCATCAACGGTACTTCAAAATGCTCATAAAAATCTGTATAAAAATACGACTACTGTCCATCTGGAAATGTGCGCACATCGACCAGCCTCATATCTATGAGGTTATGGGACGATGCCCCAGGTTGAGGATGCTTTGGCCAGCTTTCTCTCGCCCGGTCTTGCGTTGTCCCTTAAAGAGCCGGCACTGCCTACCAAGCCATGTCGCGTGACATCTGCTCTGGTGGCCAAGGCGTACATGGCGGCGGGCCGGGCCAGTGTGAGCCTGCACACGATGGCAGTTTTGCAGGCATACCAAGCCGACCTGCTGAAAGACATGGACTCGGAAGGAGGCCCCTCTGAGGAGGACATCGCTGAGCACCGCAGAGCTACGGATTTGTCTCTCCGAGTCACAAAAGAGACGGTCCGCGCCATTGGCCGCTCTATGTCGGCGCTGGTGGGCACGGAGCGGCACCTGTGGTTCAACCTATCAGGCATCCAGGAGAGGGAGCAGACCTTCCTGCTCAACGCACCGGTTGCGACCTCTGGCCTGTATGGCGAGGCGGTGGACACCGTCGTCAGCAGGTTTCAGCATGCCAGGACGCAAAGGGAGGCGTTCCAGCAGTATCTCCCGCGCCGGTCTGGGTCCAGGATGGCATCCAGCTCCTACCGCCAGAGCCAGAGGCAGAGTGTCGCTTCTCGAGGTCCCCCTCAGCGTACCCGGGACTTGAGGTGGCGCTCTTGGCCAAAGCCCCCCGAGACAACGGATCTGAGGACCGTTCTTCAATCTCTGAGGAGATTCAGGTTCAGGATGCTCACCATCCCCGCCATCATCAGTCACATCCAATCCGAGGATTGGTTTGTCACAAGAGATCTGCGAGACGCATATTTCCACATCTCCATCCGTCCCTCTCACAGGAAGTTCCTGAGGTTTGCCTTCGGGGGGCGCGGCGTACCAGTATCGGGTTCTTCAGCCTAGCACTCTCTCCTCGCACATTCACCAAATGCATGGATGCAGCTCTGGCACCGCTGAGGCTCCAGGGCATCCGCATATAAAACTACATCAACGACTGGCTCATCTTGGCTCAGTCTCGGGAGTTAGCAGTTCGTCATCGAGATGTCGTCCTCGCCCACCTTCAAACCTTCGCGTTTGGGGCTGCGGCTCAACGCGAAGAAGAGCGTGCTGACACCCATCCAACGTACTACGTTCCTAGGGGTGGTGTGGGACTCAACGACGATGCGGGCCCACCTGTCGCCTGCACGCGTCGGGTCCATTTTGTCCTCGGTGACCAGAGTGAAGCTAGGCCGCACCATCACTGTGAAACACTTTCAGAGGGTGTTGGGTCTCATGGCGGCAGTGTCCAGCGTAATCCCGTCTGGCCTGCTGCACATGAGAGCCCTGCAGTGGTGGTTAAAATCCAAGGGATTCTCCCCGAGGGGAAATCCGTTCCGTCTGATACGGGTTACGGGCAGGTGCCTTCGTTCCCTGTCAGCATGGAGGAACCCTTGGTTCCTGTCCCAGGCTCCCATGTTGGGAGCGTCATGTCGCCGGACAATTATTTCGACAGACGCCTCACTCGCGTGGTCATGGACGGCCGCTTTGCGAGAGGCTCCTGACAGGAGCATCATTTCTCTTGGCACATAAATTGCCTGGAAATGTTGGCGGTTTTCAGAGCTCTGAGAAGTTTTCTGCCCACTCTCCACAGTCGCCACGACCTTGTCAGGACCGACAACACGGCGGTGGTGGCCTATTTGAATCACCAGGGGGGTCTGCGCTTGCGCCCGTTATGCAAACTGGCACATCAGATCCTCCTGTGGTCCCAGCAGAGACTGCTGTCCCTCAGAGCGACATATGTCCCTGGGACCCGGGAATCAGGAAGCAGACCTGCTGTCGAGACAGGGGCTGAGGCCCGGGGAATGGAGACTCCACCCCCAGGTAGAGGAGTTATTATGCGAAAGGTTCGGCCCCATAGACGTGGACTTGTTTGCGTCTCGAGAGACTACGCACTGTCCCCTGTGGTTCTCCCTCTCGCCCCCAGCCCCGCTAGGGCTGGATGCCATGGTGCAGACGTGGCCGAGGCTGCGCCTGTATGCCTTGCTCTGCTCCCGGGGGTTCTGGAGCGGGTCCGTCAGGAAGGTGTCAGCCTACTGCTGGTAGCCCCGTTTTGGCCGGTCCGAGTGTGGTTCTCGGACATAATATCGCTCCTCGAGGGCCCGCCATGGCAGGGACCTGCTGTCTCAGGCGGAGGGCCAGGTCTTTCACCCATGCCCCGCCCTGTGGAGACTGTGGGTCTGGCCCCTGAGGGGGCCCAGTTCATGGAGGCGGGCCTGACGGCAGGAACAGTCGAGACACTGCTCAGCTCCAGAGCCCCGTCCACGAGAAGGACGTACGGCCTAAAGTGGAATGTGTTTGCCACCTGGTGTAGAGAACAGGCGGTGGACCCAGTTACCTGCCCGGTGACTATGGTACTGAAGTTCCTCCAGGACCGTTTCTCTGCTGGCCTTTCCCCATCCACACTCAAGGTGTATGTGGCTGCCATGGCGGCGTTCCATGCCCCTCTGAGGGATGGGCCTCTGGGGAGGCTTCCACTGTTCGTGCGCTCTGTGGAGCCCGGAGGATGATACCCGTGACTCGTTCAAGGGTTCCCACTTGGGACCTGGCGGTGGTTCTCGAAGCGCTAGCTGAGGCCCCCTCCAAACCCCTGGAGTCGGCTGAGGCCAAGCACCTGACCCTTAAGATGGCCTTTCTCCTCGCTATCACCTCTCTGAGGAGGGTGGGGGATCTCCAGGCACTTTCAGTTTCTCCTCAATGCCTGGAGTTTGCCCCGGGGAGGGTCAGAGCCATCCTGCACCACTGTCCGGGCTATGTCCCTAAGGTTCCGTCCAGGTTGGCAGGGTCTACGGTGCTGCAGGCGTTTCATCCCCCACCTCAAGTCACTGCAGAGGACAGGAGACTTCATCTGCTCTGCCCGGTCAGAGTGAGTATTTACACTCTGAGGTCCTCCCGATGGAGGAAAGCAGACCAGTTGCTGGTGTGTTTCGGGTCCCCCAAGGCTGGGCTCCCCGCTTCTAAACACACGATCAGCAACTGGATCGTTCAGACTATTTCCCTGGCCTATCAGGTGCGCGGGTTACCTTCACCTATGGCCCTTGTTCCCCGAGAAGGGGAACGAGACACTGCGTCGGTCCGCCACACCTCGCCCCGCCTGGAGTGCCTTGCTTCATAGCAAAGAGCTAATGTGTCCGGTGTGCCGGCGTGCTTATATACGCCTCCAGTTACACCGTCACACGCTACCGTTCTAGCAACGCCAATAGGATTGGAGTAGTTTCATTCATGATTTCAGCCCTGCCACGCCCAGAGGCGTTCCCATAGTATCGCCACCGACGCAGTGTCTCGTTCCCCTTCTCAGGGAACAAAGGTTACATACGTAACCCAAGCGTTCAACCTCCTCGCTTTCTTTTCTCCAAGTAATGTCCAGTTTTGTCAGGTTTTTATATAAATATGAAGTCGTAGTCCAACAGAGCTAACAACGCTAACAACAACACTGGAGCCGGACGTGCACGTAAGCTAGCTGCTGAGAAGCTCCAGTGAAGATAAATCAACGTTGAAATCCCAAAAACTAAAGTAAAAACCTAATTTAATAAAAGCAGATATCTCCGAGCACCTCCCGCGAGTAAACGGCGTAGTGGTATCCTGTGTAAGTGATTGTGGTGAAAAGGGCTCTGTATTTTCATGTTTAAGATCAGGGGAAGGCCTGTTCTGTGTGGGTGTGTGTGGTGGAGGAGCTAAACCCTGTTCTTGTACCCTGTTCTGGTAAGAAATTAAACTGAAAGAACCTTGTGACATTACAGAATATACAGTATATGATAGTGTTCCATCCATCCCTCCCCCTCACCTCTTGATCCAAGTCATCATAATCATAACTGTCTCCATAAATGTTGACATCCAGGTTTTCCCAGTCCATCTCACTGTTCAGGTCGTAGTTCTCAAGTTCAAAAGCCTCTTCATCTAGCTCACCAGGAGGGGCGGCCTTGCCAGGGCAGGGGCCCAGGAAGACCAGGATCAAGGCAAGAGCCAACATGAGAGACTGCAGAGACATCCCCAGCTCAAACATGGAGACTACCTGCTGACATCAAGAGAGGTGAGGGTTTCCTTTAATGCTGTCAATATGTTTCCAGGAATTCTGATTAAAATCCCAATACCAATGTTAAATCAAGTTTGAGTTATCAAAGCAGTTCAGCTGTTATCTTGTCATACTCTCATGGATATTGTGCCCCATATGCACTCTTCAACCTGTTCCTCTGACATCCTACCTGCTTAACACTGGTTATTTGGAGTGTAGGTCCATACATTTGTCAAATGATTAACTCCTCCCTTGCTATTGGCTCTGTACCACTTTATTTCAGTCATGCAATTGTCCAACTACACCTTAAAAAGCTTGATCTTTCTGTTATTAACACCTATCAGCCTATCTTACAAGTGTTTAATACCCGACTGATAAGTTATATGAGGTACATACTAGTGTTTATTTTTGTAATTTACCATGGCTTGTGTGCCATGCCAAACAGTGCACCACTCACTATCCCAGGCTGTTTGTGTTTGCATTATGTAAGAGTCTACAGCTAAGCACATGATAAGTTAAAGTAAACACAAATACTCATAAGTTAGTTTCAGTTACATTTTATTTTAGGTTGCAAGTTTGAACATGGAAGTTCCGAGACGTTGGAATGCAACATTACGCTGCCCCCAGAGACAAAGTAGTAGAAGGCAAAGAAGCCACACACTGTTACCGAGACAGCATGCACAGCAATTGTCCACAAAATGCTGGGCCAACAAGCAGCAAAAGAAATTGCAAAGGTTCTGCTGTCGGACTCTACAGTACAATTGTAAGGCGAATCAATGACATGTCTGCAAATATTGAAAGCCTGGTTTTGGAAAAAATCTAAATTTTCCTTACAAATTGATGAATCAACAGACGTCACTGGGCATGCTCATCTCTGGCTAATGTTTGATTTGTGGATGTCAACCATAACAGGGAGAATTTTTTAGTTTGCAAACCAATGCCTAACAGAACAACAGGAGATTTATCTTGTGACAACTGAGTGTCTTCAACAGGGAGGATTAAGATGTGTAAGTGTCTGGCCTGATGGGGCTGCTGCCATGACGGGTAGTGCCAAGGACTTTATCAATAGGGTCAGAGGTGTGGCTGTTAAAGAGCCGTCTGTTTTAGATTCTATGCAAGGAAATGGGAGCAGAACATCATAGCTTGGGCAGGCTTGAGATGTTTCCCTTGTGCAGAGAACATTCAAACAGCTGCATTCTCAGATTCTAAATTCTCAATGAGAGATTTAGTCACTATTTTTCATTCATCCATTTGTCTTTTGCGCATTTTGACTTGGTCTGTGACCCTTGGGAGTTCATGTGCTCTGGAAAGCTCAAAAGACATGCCACTGTTGGCGCAAAAGCAACTCAATCAGGGAAGATCGCAAATTAAATATAAAATTTTAAGACACAGCTTTAGATAGGTTTGGGATATTGCTGGAGAAAGAGTACCCAATAGCTGCAAGTTGCGCAGTGGCAATTCTGCTACCCTTCTCTACAACATATTTGTGCAAACTCAGCTTTTTAAGCCTAACTTACATCAATAACAAGTACAGGGAGCAACTGAGTACTGTGGACCAGGAGCTCCATGTCTGCCTCTCATCCATCCCTGCCAGAATAGGCAGGTTGAGTGTAACGTTTCAGGCTCAGGTTTCCCATCAGTAAGTAAGTAAGTCACATTTATATCCACTTATGGTGTGTGTGTGTATGTACAACCTAAAAACAGCTGGGTTATTTCATCTACCCAACCGCTTATGAAAAATTGTACCCATTATGGGTTATTCATATGGTTATTTTGTGAAACTCATGCGTTCCATCAACCCAACATACATCGGTTGACCCAGCACGTGGGTTGTTTGTGCTTCCAAAGGCGTAACTGGGCGGATGTGGCTCAGGAGATAGAGTAGGTTGCCTCTTAATTAGAAGGGTCGTGGTTTAATCCTGGCTCCTCCAGGCTGCATGTTGATGGGCAAGATACTGAACCCTGAATTCCCTCTGGTTGCTGTTCCACCTGTGTGTGAATGTTAGTTTCTGTTTAGGCTCAGTGAATGAATGTGTGTGAATGGTAAAAGCGCTTTGAGTGGTCGAAAAGACTAGACAGGCGCTATACAAGTACGGACCATTTACATCACATCATCATCAAAGTCCACACACTGAGCAATCGTCACAGTAGAGATCCCGCCTGGTCATCCAGCGAGGCAAATAAATAAAAAAAGGTTTGTGTACACTACATGTCTAATTCACATTGTCTGTGTTGCGTTACCTATTAAAGTAGTATCTTTATATATTCGAGGATAGTTAGTTGGTTTGGCTAACAACGTAGCTAAAATTAGCCATTTAGCCGTTATCATGGAAGCACAGATAGCCTACAGCTTATCCGTTAGGACTGAATTATATTAATGAACTAGACTAGGCTGTTGAAGGCTAATGCTGATTTGTTAATGCTAAACTGGATTGCTAAACTTCATGCAAGCTCTCATTTCAGCCTCTCTCTTAAACAAGCAGTAAATGCTCCCGTCTCTTTAAGCCTCCCCCCAAAAGCCCGCTGTGTTCTGATTGGCCGAGATCCTGAAGCAGAATGATTATGCCGCTCAGCAGTACAGACAGACTAAGCATAGGAGTTGCCAGTTATTATTGAGGATGCAGGCAAATTACCATACATGGAAAACCAGCTCTGTTTGACATCATTAAGAGTCAAGAGTAGAGCTTTGGCCCTGTTTACCATGAACATCTGACACTGAAACATTATACATAAGACAGAAAATATAAGAAGCCTAATAAGTCTCCTTTAATGTGTGTGTGTGTGTTGGCAAATTCTAACCCACCAAACAAACTCAGAGGCGGCTCTCACACACCTAATTTCTCGCCTTAACTAAACCATCGCCCTAGTTACAGCCCAGCTACCTGTCTGCAGGCATAACGCGCATTATATGCTAACAAAAAAGGTGGATGTAAATCTCTGCAGGTAGCCTACAACAGCTGTTCTGTCGAATAATGCATTCACCTCTTAAGCTCCTTATCAGAAACGTCGCTGATCAAACGCAGTTATCACCTCAAATTGTTTGCTGAATCTCAAGGAATGCTACATCTACTAAGTGTCATAATGTATTGATGACTCTAAACTGCCTTTAATATGTACTTCGAATCAATCATCCCCACTGATGAACCCCACAAAGAATAGTATAACGTTATCCTTTTTAAACAGTAGAGGTGCACGGCTCTCCTCGGGAGAGACAGCTAGCTCAAATAGTGGCATCGATTCAATTCAATTAAATTCAATTAAATTTTCAATTCAATTCAATTTTATTTATATAGCGCCAAATCACAACAACAGTTATTCACAGCGCTTTTCATAAAAGAGCAGGTCTAGACCGTACTCTGTGATGATATTTACAGAAGCCCAACAGTTCCCACCAAGAGCAAGCACTAGGCGACAGAGGCAAGGAAAAACTTCCTTTTAAGAGGCAGAAACCTCGAGCAGAACCATGGCTCAGGGTGGGCGGCCATCTGCCTCGACCGGTTGGGGGTGAAGGAGAGAGAGAGGGAGAGAGAGAGCGAGAGAGAGAGAGAGAGCAGGAGAGGAATAGAGAGAAAAAGAGAGGGATATAAGGAGAGAGAGAGAGGGGAGGGAGGCAGCCTACACAATATACACACAGAGGTACAGACAGTGAAGGTGATGTTGCTATAGACTAAATGAAAAATGGTACAGATATTTATAATAGTGTTAATGGTAACAATCGTAATGTTAATGATTATAATAACAATAAGACTAGCAACAATAGTCGTTACAGCAGAGGGTGTCGAGCAGGAACACAGGGGCAGCAGGTGACCCGCAACCACAGATCCAGACTCCACAGCTCCAGAGCCAGAAAACCTGCAGGAAGTGATAGGAGAGAGGAGAGAGACGAGAAAGAACAAGACTACCAGAAAGGGGAGAAGTTGTGTTAGTAACATGCAATAATGGGATGAGGTTGCATACAGAGGGAGAGAAAGAAGAGGAGAGAGGAGCTCAGTGCATCATGGGAAATCCCCCGGCAGTCTAGGCCTATAGCAGCATAACTAAGGGATGGTCAGGACTCACCTGAGCCAGCCCTAACTATAAGCTTTATCAAAGAGGAAAGTCTTAAGCCTACTCTTAAATGTGGAGATGGTGTCTGCCTCCTGAACCCAAACTGGAACCTGGTTCCACAGGAGAGGAGCTTGATAGCTGAACGCTCTGGCTCCTAGTCTACTTTTGGAGACTCTAGGAACCACAAGTAACCCTGCATTCTGGGAGCGCAGTGCTCTGGTGGGGTAGTAAGGTACTATGAGCTCTTTAAGATAAGATGGTGCCTGACCATTAAGAGCTTTGTAGGTAAGAAGGATGATTTTAAATTCTATTCTGGATTTTACTGGAAGCCAATGCAAAGAAGCTAAAACAGGAGAAATGTGATCTCTTTTCCTGGTTCCTGTCAGAACACGTGCTGCAGCATTCTGGATCAGCTGAAGAGTCTTAATGGACTTTTTCGAGCAGCCTGATAATAAGGAATTGCAGTAATCCAGCCTAGAAGTAACAAATGGACTAGTTTTTCTGCATCATTTTTAGACAGGATGTTCCAGATTTTCGCAATATTACGTAGGTGAAAAAAGGCGGTCCTTGAAATTTGCTTAATGTGAGACTTAAACGACATGTCCTGATCAAAGATAACTCCAAGATTCCTCACAGTGGTGCTGGAGGCCAGGGCGATGCCATCCAGGGAAACTATATCTTTAGATAATGCGTCACGGAGGTGCTTAGGCCCCAGAGCAATAACTTCAGTTTTATCTGAGTTTAACATTAGAAAATTACAGGTCATCCAGGTTTTAACATACTGAAGGCACATTTGAAGTTTAGCTAACTGATGAGTTTCATCTGGCTTGATCGATAGATATAACTGAGTATCATCTGCATAACAATGAAAGCTTATGGAATGTTTCCTGATAATATTGCCTAAAGGAAGCATATATAAAGTGAAGAGGATTGGTCCGAGGACAGATCCTTGAGGA